CGTAGTTCGGCTCGTTCATTTTGATCCTAACCAAAATTCTAATCAATTTTTGAGCGATTAATGATCTTCAAGCTGAATTCACTAAATTCACGACCCTGACAACATTGATTGTGTCAACGATCCGATTTTGAGGCGAGTTGGGGTCAGCTCAAAATTGACTCGAAAAAAATTCGATCCAAAATTTTGGTGCGTAGCTTGGCTTGCTTATTTTGATCCGATCTCGATTTGAACCAAAATTCGAATCAATTTTCGAGCGATTAACGATTTTCGAGCTAAATTCACAGCCCTGGGCCAGCCTTCTGAAGGATCGCAACAAGCAGAGCTGCAGTGAAGTTCTCTCTTATCCAACCCTAAACGTGCATATGGTTTATTATAAAAGTACGGAATGAAGATGTCTTTCTACTTTGGAGGTTAGTTTTGAATTAGAGACCAAGAATTTTATCCAAACAGCCTCCGGACTCTCTACTTTTATTACAAATCATAAACTCAATGGTTATATCTTCTTTTAATGCTTCCATATACTTTTTAGGACATCATAAGAGATTTGGGAAGCAATTGTGATACTTATTCTAGTACTGAAAACACTGCATAATTGTTTTAGATTGAGCCAAAATTGCATGAGCTTTGACAAGAAGAGTTGAGTGTCATTCAATACTTCAACACACTATCAAAGTATTTGTTACATTTTAGATATGTATGATACATGTGTAGAAGTGCCTTCAAGATGCTATGATGTATAAAACAATAGTAGAGAAGAAGAGGATGAGTAAGTTCTTCTTGACTCTAAATAAGAACTTATATGAGTTCAGAGGAAGAATCATGGGCATGAAGCCTCTCCATACCACCAAGGAAATTTTTGCTAAAGTTAGAGGAGAAGAAAGCAGGAAGAAGCTTACGATGGTAGGAAGTGTGGGTTCATCTAGCATCAAAAACTCCACTTTGTACACGTACAACTCCCATGATTCAAAACCTAATAAGAATCATCCTTTGTGTGAACATTGCGAGAAACTTAAGGTTCTACGTTTTTAAAACGCCACCACGCTGCTTGTTTTCTCCATCTTCTGTGCGTTTTGCGATACACTGGTTTTGTTTTGTAATAAACGCCGGCTGCTGGTTCGACCAGATGACCATTGGAGGAATTTTCTTACCTCTCGGCCCTCCTGTTGCGCTTGCCCTCATCCCGTGCCCTAGGTGTCTCTTTGTTCCTCTCCTCTGCCCTCTTCCCATGGCTTCGTTCGCTAAACAAGGGCTCCCTCTCACGCTTCTCTCTCTCACGCGTTTCTCTCGATTGTTGCTTTTCTCCTCCTCTTTACGATCCGTGGTTGTGGTGCTCTGTAATTGATATCGTTGCCTTTCTTTGGGTGATTTTTGATGGAATGACTTTTTCGTGCTTTTATTTGGGTTTTGCCTTAGCTGTGAGAAGTTTGCAGTGCTCTGTGAGTAATATCATGCTCTTTCTTATGGTGAATTTCTAAGGAATGACTTTTTTCTGTGATTTTTTGGCTCTCCTTTTTTGTGTTCTCTCTCGATTGCTGCCTTTGGTTGGGTGTTGGACTTAAATGTGTGTACTGGTGGTTGGTGGTTGTTTCATGCTTGAGAGTGCTTTCTTCATATTGTTTCTTTGATAAATAGAATGTTTGATGAAGAAACTTGGAGAACAATTGGTTTTGAATGTTCTTTAGACTTTAATTTTGCTGCTTAATGGAAGCAATAATTCAAAGGTTGAATTTTTAATATTTATTGGTAAATGTGGTTATAAAAGGATGTTGTGTCTCTCTCTTTAATGTGCTACCAAAGAGCAGCGTTTCACCGCAACATTTTAGGCTAGATGCGCTCCAACAATTCTTATGTGTGTGTGTGTCTCTTTACTGCTGCCTTTGGTTATGTGTTGGTGATGCAAGCTGACCTGCCATTTTAATGCTGCATTATCTAATGTTAGCCCATTAACATAGCTATTATGATATTTACTGCCCATCATAATCAAATAATAAAGACTATGCTCTATTAGCTTGATCAAATGCCATTCTTTTGGATAAGGATTGAGGGATTACTTGTGTTGAAAGAGCTCCGGTGGATATGCATTTTTTTTTGGGTTGTGATGGAGCTGTGACAGGGGATGAGTTGTGGCTGTGATAGGGGTGGTTTCTGCCTAGTTGGTGACTGTCTTGGGATTGGGTTGTGGCTGTGTGAGGGTTAAGATGGAGCTGTGATGGGGGTGGGCTGTGGCTGTGATTGGGGGGTGATTTTTGCTTGGTTGGTGGCTGTCTTGGGATTTTAAAACTAATATTATCATATTTTTAATTGTAATTTTAATAGTTTTTTTCTTTTTTAGTGCACTTTATACTCACTGTTTGGTAAGGTGTGTATCTTATTTTTTCTACTTTTATGAAGTGATTTTTTGCTTCTTAAATATCAAATGCATCGCTATGACAGTTCTGTTTTTTGTATGGAACTCTTACTATTGTTGACAACCAGAAACAGTAGTTTCTCTTTAGCATATGCTTAGGTCATAAGAAAAATCAGAAACCATATACGGTTAAATTTTGCTTAACCGTACTGCGTTTCCCAAGATTTTTCATATCCCCTTTTCTATGTTGTAAAGCCCTAATGATAATATATCTATTTCACTTGTGGTTAACTTGTTCGTTCTTCGAAGCGAATGACGTTAGTCCTAGTCATAAAAGATTTCAACATTCTATCGTGTTTGAATCAAAGTAAATTATGTCTAAAAAGTTAACACATAAACATACGGAATTCATGCACACAAAAATATTGAGGGAAAAAAAATACAGAAAATGAAACAACAATAAAACCACAAGTTTTTCATCATAGGAGCATAAAATGAAGTCAATTGCAATGCTTGAGAAAAGTAAAGACGAAAAATTTCATTATAGACATAATAATAAGGATTGCAGTGTAAGTGGCCCACAACACTCATAGAGCGAAGTAGTCCTTAGCAATACTCTACACTTTTCTCTGTTTAATACAAGCTCTTACAAAACTCCTTTCATACAAGAGCACTCACCTCACTTGTCAAACTCTCGAGTACTCACAAGAAAAACCAACTCTAGGAGTCTTCTTTCCAAAAGAAGAGGAAGAAGACCCCTAGGATTTGCTCTAAAACCCTAATTTCTGATGTTGAAAGCCTCCAAGGTTTGCCCAACAACTCCAAGTCGTTCCCTAGCATCCCTTGTATAGCTTTTGGCCAAAATCGCCATGAAATTTCCTCACAAATTGAATTTTGGTCTTTCGGTGGATTGACCACTCCCATGGTCAGCATGGCTAAGCCAGACTGATGTAGTCACATCAAGATCTGGCGCGATTATGCTAAATCTGGCGCAGTCACGCCCAGATATGGCGCGGTTATGCCAGGTCACCCTATTTTGGCTATTTTGACTTTGTTGTGTGTGCTCAACACTTGTAAATTACAAAATATCACAAAGAACCTTCTACAAGTGTAAAATCATGATAAGTTAGAAAGAAAATATGATATTTAAGGCGGTGAAATCACGTAAATTTCCCTCGTGTCATATGTCTTTCCTTTTATTATTTGTTTTGTATATGGTAAGTTGTTCTATGCACACAAGCAAGCACACTTTAAATATTAAACCCAAATGTATATGGTAAGTTGTTTTATGTACACAACCAAACACACCTTATAAAATTTGAACTTTACAAAACCAAGGGTGCTTGGTTGTGTGCATATTCTTCTTACACTTTGTAAATCTCGACAATAACTCAATGTACCTGTAGAGGAATGGATCATTCTTTCGAGTGATTTATCATTACTCTTGTTATTATTTATTTAGTGGCTAGCACATTTGTGTGGTAGAAATTTTGTCATGAATACCAATTTGCAACATTAAACTTGATTATTGTTGAAATTTAATATAAGTTAATTATTTCTTTTGTTGAAATTTAAAATCAATTTTTAAATATCATTATTTTTCTTGTGAAATTTTTATAAAACCCAAGTGGTGATTACTTGGTTTTGTAAAGTTAAATTTTATTTTCGCATACTTGGTTTTGTGATACCTCACTTAATTTGATGAAGGCTTGTTGTTGTATTCTTGGTTTTGTGGTATCTTTAATAAAAAATAATGAAAAAAAAATATATTTTATAATAATAATTAATTAAATATTAAAAAATGTCCGTGCGTGTTATGTCTTATTTTTTCAATCATGTCTTGTCCCCGTGTTCGTGTCCTTGCTTCATATTATCATATTTGTTAACCAAACACAAAATAGATTCAAAATTTTAGAGGACATGATCCATTCCTAATAGAGTCAACATTATAAGCATTTTTTTATTATAAATTGAAAATAAATAGAGTGCAACCTAAAATACATTGTGATTTGAAGCTCGCTTATCATGTTTCCAATGGGCTTGCACTTTCAGATTTCCACGTGTTTGGTATGACATATCTACACTCCTACCCGCAATGTTGATCTTTCTATTTAGGAAGGAGCGGTCGGGACCAGTCTTGCAAGAGTTTAGAAAGATCTTCAGTATTTTTTGGCCAAAAAAGCACAATTTGCATTGAGAGAGGGAATACACTTTCGGTCTCTTAGAGAACAAGCTTGACCTTTGACTATATTTAAGGTTGCCCCAAATAGCTTGCACGTAATGGGTTCTTCATTACAAAATCTACTTGTTTTTAAATGTCTCATGGATACCATTTTCAAAAAAGAGGCTGAATACTTATTCAAGAGAAAGTTGTTTTTATAGTCATCTTGTCAAAAGTTAGCATGTGTTTGCACTGAAAATCAAATTTGTTCTTTACTCTGAATTGGTTGAGCTTCATTTATTAATTGTACTTTATTTCAACTAGCACACTTGTCCCATCGCACTTGGTTCTAATTTCATGATTTGTTGGGACTCACCTCGTATTTGCAACGTTGCTTACTTGCTTTTAGCTATGATTTCTGTTTCGACAATGGTGGTTGTTCATTGAGGTTTACTTTTCAGTTTGGCATCATAATATTTTTTACTTTTGCAGGTTTATGGAGATGAAGAATGGTCATTTGGCTTCTGTGAAAATGGTCCTGGAGTTTTCAATTGCCCTTCTGGTAAAAACCCAATGTATACCTATCGTGAGAGGATTGTTCTTGGAGAGACTAACTGTTCATTGTTTAAAGTAAAACAAATATTGAGGGAACTTAGTCGAGAATGGCCTGGTGACTCGTATGATCTTCTATCAAGAAATTGCAACCATTTTTGTGATGTATTCTGTGAAAGTCTTGGCGTACCAAAACTTCCAGGTGACACAGGCTCTAACTTTGAATAATAAAAATTGCTTATTGTATTAGTTAATGTTGCCTGATACACTATTACTTTATTTGAGTTTGATAATCTTTATGCATATCATATTAATTAGTATTTTTTTCAACAAGCTATTTTTTTCGTGTTAGTCATTGTATGTGTTATCTCCATCGAAGGGTATCAACTTTGATAGGCGCTTCATGATATTGGTTATGGGTTATAATTCCAGCCATTCTTCATTATATTTGTATCTTTTGTAAATTAATTTACACTATTTTTTGCACTTCACTCATTATTTAGACTTTGGATAGTAGTCCTGGGGTTTGTTTGGGGCAGTTATAGCTTTTTGAAGAAGTTGCCGCTGATGAAGCTGTCTTTCTAGTTCAGTTGTGAAACATTTGTACTTCAATTGTTAGTGAAGAAACAACTGTTTTGCCTCTGTATTGTTGTATTTGGAAGAGAACTATTTTAGGCTTAATAACTCATATAAGAAAATATAAATTATATTCAGAATCCTCATAATCTCACAAGTTCAAACATTACATCTAAAAGATACAATCTCACATAACAATGAGTTACACAACAATCAAAATAAAAAAATAAAAATACAAGAACAAAAATTAATATTATCACTAGGGGTGTAAACAGGTTGACCTTGAGCGAGCATATACTCGATTCATGTTCGGCTTGTTTAAAAATATCACTGTTCGTGTTCGGCTCGTTTATATATTGAGCTCAAGAAATTTGTTCGTGTTTGGCTTGTTTGCTTAGCGAGTCGAACACGAGTTGTTCACCAACAAGAAGCCATTTTGATAGTCCTAGTCAGACAGTTGTAGAATATTAAAGGAATGGGCAAGATTTAAATCGTATTATTTATATAAAATATTCATTTAAATAGAATTATATATATCTATATATATTAATTTTATTTGATTATAAATCTTAGTAGCCTTGTAGTCAGTTAAATTATTTAAAAATAATTCTCATCATTTATGTATATTTAATTATTTTGAGTCAAAACGAGCCGAACACGAACAAACAAAACTTTTTTCAGTTTGGCTTGTTTATATAACGAGCACAAAAAAATTGTTTGTGTTCGGTTCGTTTGCTTAACAAACAAATCAAACGTGAGCTAACGAACAAGCCGAAAACGAGTTGTTCGCAAACAACGAGCCATTGTGACAACCCTAATTATCACGATATTACATTTAAAATCGAGATGATCTGTCTTAATGGATAACTTATTCTCGAAAGATGCTTTGCATGCCTGGTCACCATCCAAAGTAAAACCTATAGCCCTCTCCTGAATTATTTCTTGAACAATTGCAAAATTTGTTTTTCATGATGCAAGTAAACAACATTGCAATCAACAGTTGTAGTACAAGACTCTCAAAGCACCAAAAGTCATCGAACTTATATTTACTAAAAGTTGAAAACCATAAACATAAAATTTGATTGCATTAATTGTACAATGATAATGCTATAATAAAAATTAACTAATAAGAATAATACATTGATATAAAGTTATAAAAATATGAGTTATTATAGCAAATATAAATTAATGAATAATCTATTATTTTAAGACTGAAGATTTTAAAGAAAAGCGATCTTTATTACTTTTTAATCACACACCACTGAGCTCATATATGTCACATAAGCATATTAACGCAAAAGCTCTCCAGAAGAGCCCCAACATTCGTATGATTGAAAAAGAAGGGTGTCTTCGTTGGCTTCAATCACATATATTTCATAGAAGCATATTGGCACAAAGGCCCTTCGGAAGAACCCCAACAATCATATGATTGAAACGAAAGGTGATTTTGATTGCCTTGATATCGATCTCATAAATGTCAACAGCCGTAACAACATAAATGTCATCTAGAAGAATCTCTAAGGTCATATATCTCATCATAAATCTCCATTTCGGAAAAAAAAAATATGCAAAAAAAACTTGTTTTACACCCATGGTTGCCTAAGAGGCCATCCAAGTGGGATAAACGACATGCTAATATAACAAAGAAAACACTATAATAAATTGTGCAATATTTCACATAGATATTTTTGCCGAAGGCGTTGACAAAAAATGATTAATTGTTTGTCCTTATACAATAACATATGAGCAACACACATTAACTAATGCACTTGTAATCTGCTTTCGCAACTGAATCATATCTCCAATGCTGTCTCTGTCATGTGTACTAGTGTCACTCAGATCAAAATCATTTAGTAATATATAGTCGACTGATGTTCGCCAGCAATGCTAAAATCAATGTCGGATGTTGTAGGATGACGACAAATATAATTTTGGATAACCATTGTTGCAACCACAATATTCACCTATTTCTTGAATGTTTATGCCGGCATGTCTCGAATAATCACCCATTTTTTCCACACCCCAAAGGTTTTCTCAATGACACCGCGTATATATGAGTGTTGCTTGTTAAACATTTCCTTTGTTCCCCGAACAACTTGGCTAGCCATTTGAAATCTGGGAGATGATATCTCATGTCAGGATATGGTTTAAGAAACTCGCGTTGTATGGGATAGGCAATATCAAACAGATAATATTTTCCTACATATAAGTAATTTAGTAATACAAGTTAGGAAATAAGCTATAAAATTTTTTAATGGTAAATTTCTAATCTTGAGGCGGCATAGAAGAATTATAATGGCTATTTTGTACGACAAAATTGAAGGTTTGACTTTCATGTGTATTGTCTTCCCATCTAGCTATTATAAAATTGAAACACATATTGAAATTACATGCAACCATAATATTTTGTGTTGGTGAGCCACACCGCCTGATATAAACAATCTTTTCACATCAAAATACATGCGCATTAATATGTATTCCGTCGGTAACACCAATGAAATCCTGTAAGTTATTTAAATCGAATGAGTAAATTTAAATATATTAAAAAATATAAAAAACTAAAGTTTATTTTAAAATATGACATATAGAGGGGATCATTCAAAATCTCTCTAGGTGTGCTCTGAAATGTGTCTAAAAAATATCTACTAATTGTTTCCGAGGAGTGTTGAAATCACTCCATGATAGACCTAACTAAGGTTCTGTTTGGGGCAGCTGTAGCTTATTGAATAATCTGCTGATAAGCTAGGTGCAATGACTATTACAAATTTTTATTTTTTTTTTTAAACCAAACTGCAGCCAGAAGACTGTCATCGCACCTAGATAGGTGTGGTGTGAAAACAATGTTTTCAACGTTTTGAAAACGCATAAGCTGCCAAAACGCAGTTTTCCCAAACAGACCAGGTGCACGAAATAAGCTGCCCTAAACGGGCCCTAACTCATTTTGTGCTAAAATCTAGAGGTTTATGGTTAACATCTCTCTTGAAGTCATTCTAGAGGATCTATTGAGTCCATAAATTTGATGTAGCATCTCAAATAGATCTAAAAAAAGTTCTCGTTGCAGATGAAACATGTGTAATCTAGTTGGATGATCCGAAAGTACCTCACCAAACCTTTTGTTCTCAATAAATGATGTTGTCATGAAAGGAATATACACAACATTTGACTTATATTACTCATATATCAAACACATAGCGGCTGCAATTAGTCTTTTCCAACGTTGTCTTTCTCTGTTATTCTTCATTTATCTGAAAAAACACATGAAACATTAATAGGATGATGAAATTTCCCTGTTATTCATCATTTATCAAAAAATCATTTCAAGCATTAATAGAATGATGAAATCACATCAAATAGAGATATATCTCACAATATGAATTTGATAATGAGTTTGTTTGGATAATAAATGTAAGAATTTGGATGAAGCTATAACATAAACAAATAGCTCACTCAGACACCATGATTGTTTATAAAAGAAATGTATGTAATCAACCCTACGTTCAGGCTCGAAACTCATAAAAACTCTCTTAGTTGGATCTTTTATCATTTTCATGGAACAAAAATACGAAGCCATGTCTTCATAAAATTTTGAAGTTTCTCTTAGTACTTTCATAATTTCTAGAATAGTCCTCTTTGTATGACTCTAATCAAGGCCTGCAGTCTCTCGTTTTTATTCTTTCTATAATTTGTAATCCTTTTTTAATTGGTCCCGCTTTATTTTTTTAATTGCATTCTATCACACTTTCTTTCGATTATTTCTTTGAATTTGTATCATCCCTCTTTGTTGAAAAATGTTGTGTGCCTATATTCAGACAAAAAACACACATGATTATCCTTATTACTGTTTCACATATAGCAGAAGCTCCACTTTTCCTTGTATTTCCCATTTAAATCTCTAATTTGGCCAAAATTAAAAAAATTACATAGTATAAAAATTTACAGAAGAAGTGCATATGAGAGGAGATGATGCGTAGATAATATTTTTATTCCAATCCATAAACTATTATGAATCATATCAAACTGAATATGAGAGAGCCATACGTGCACATATACTATTTCAATTCATATCGAAATATACTGAAATGATAAATATTATATCAAGCATTTTTTTCAAGTATAAAGTATTATGCATTACTTGTCTAAACATCAATTTCTACATAAAGAATTCGGTCATAGTGTGATGGTTAGCATATTTCAATAGCAAGCCGAAATGTTAGCATCAATCGATTTGTCCGCATTTCTTCATTCCTAAAATCCCCATAAACGGAAATGCTCCTTAGGGCATTGTATCAAAATCACCATAGCAGTAAACTGAAATGCCACATTTATATGCCAAAATCATACGCAAAATCGGCCAAATTCTTCCCGCATGAATATCCACATAAAGAAACCGTAAGGCCAACTAATAACCTTAAACTTTATTATCAAAATAGAGTTTGAAAAAACCAAAATGCCAAGGTACAGATAAACCAAAATCCCAAAAAGAAAACCATAAAACAAAAACAAAAAAAATTAGGGTGTAGTTTGATGGCTTTTTCTACCGAAATGCTAACATATACGTGTTTGCATAAGCTAGGACAAACACATGCTTGTAATAAGAAAAACCACGGATCATCCCTAGAGAAATCG